TACAATGCTGGGGTGGAGCGTCTCACAGGAGAGTGGCCCGCGGGGGACCCCCCATGTGCTCGGCAGTGAACCCAGAAGTAGACCAGAACTATTTCTGGTCCACTTCCAGGTTCACAGCCCAGAGCACTGGGGGCCCCCCTGTGCCCCCCCGGCTCGGCGATCGGCTGCAGGGTGACCCCAGGTGCCCTCCCAGACCAGTCGCTGAGTCAAGGGGAGGACAGGAGATGGGGGAGAGGGGGAGGCAGGTCCAGTGCACTCCCCAGCAGACCCGAAAGTGGACCAAAAGTGCTTCTGGTCCACTTCCAGGTCTGCTGCCGAGTGCGCTGGAGACCCCACACGCTCCCATGGGACACTCCATCTGCCCCACCTTCTCAGCATTCATGAGCCACCTGGTACCTTCAGGTATGTAGAAAAAACATTTAAAGCTGCGTCTATGTCTGAATCATCGAATCTTTTGAATCAAATCGGAACCCTCCGAATTGATTCGGAGAGATTAAAAGGTCTCTTGATTTGATTTGGAGATTCAGCTGCCAAATCAAGCTGAATCTTCACAGAATTGAATCAGCGACCGAAGCTTCGCACAGCCCTACTACCAGAGCTGACCCAAGCACGGTATGGGACCCGGGGCAAATCGGCCCATGCAGGGCCCCGCCCCTGCTACAATCCTATGGGCCCCGAACTGAAGAAGCTGCATCAGGGGGTGGAAGGGGGTGTAGTAAGTGGCTGGACGTGGAGCCACTGCTCCGCCCAGCTCTGTGGGTTCCCCAAAAAACAGGGCCCGGGGCAGTCACCCTGATTCGCACCCCCTCCCCCCCAGGACAGCCTTGCCTACTAGATACCTCCCTGCAGCAGTGACACACATGGCCCTGCACATCCATGTCCATAACCTTTGAAATTAGGTCCTCCAAGGCTTAAGAAAAAGAAAAAAAAAAAAAAAAAGAGTCTGCCTGGACAGCTGATAGAACCATATACCGTTCTCTGGGTCAGCCATTCTAAATGCCAGTGGGAAGGATACTGGTACCCATGACACCAGACGCACTTATACCATTAGTGCCTCACACGGGCTTTCAGTAAAGCTTGGTACTATAAGGCTCTCTAAGCCCTTAAGGCCTACTTCTACATACTGTTAGCTTCAGCCCAACTGCTGAAGACAAACTAAAGATGTATTCTTCAAAGTTGAGGTACAATGTCATCAGACTTGGAGAACTGTATCCATCTTCTCTTTGAAACAAATTATTCCCCAAGTCACAGGAAAAGGTACAGAAGATTGAATAAAGAGTATTAAAATCAGATAAACCACAGACAGAAGCTAGATATTACAAAGTCTCGGGCACATTGTTTATTACTTTGAGAACTTAACCTTTATAAATAGGATCCTTTCAAACAGAGCTTCTAGACCATCAAAAATATCAGATTTAGCTTAATCATGTCTAGAAATAAAGGAAGCTCATTCAATGCACTTTGGAGATCTGTTCTGAGTTGACAAACATGGAGATACTTTCAATCCCACTAGTATCTTTTATTCAAATCTGTGAAAAGCATAATGGAATGCCAAGTTAGAGACAAAAACAACACAAGTCCATTTTGGAAAGGACCTGTGTATTAAGACAATCAAATTGCAAACATACTTTGAGAGTTAACAAGATCAGCATGCAAGTCTGGCGATAACCCAATCATAATTGGTCAGCAGATCAACTCAGCAGTATTCATAATTCTAAAATAAACCCAAATACAGCTTCTTATGACATTTACAGAGCACAGAGAGGCTAAACTTACCTTGCATTTGCTATGGCTAGGGTGAAAGAGTCAGGCTTCAAGCACTGGCTAAACTTCCATATGTTCTTCCTGCCTTCATCCTAGGCTTCCTATTAAATGGAGGTGCAAACACCAAGGGTACCTTAGCTAAACAGGCTGAGCTAGCTAGGTTTGCACAGGATAACCCAAAGAGAAAATGAACATACACCAAGTGACTGACTAAGGAGTACCAAACTAGCCAGCACTGGCAGGTCTCAAACTGAAAAAAGTAAAAATAATTTTAGAAAGGTTGACACAACCATTCTAATCATCATTACCCATCCAGTATAATTTATATAGCTATTGTTGTCATAAAAAGCTATAATTAGAACCAAACCAATTTTACTATAACTTTTTAGGATGCTTTACAAAAAGCCTCCTGTTATAAAAGGTACACAAAGAAGTGGCTGAAATTTATAGCACCATTAAACACATTTTTTAAATCTCTTCTTACCACAATCATTTCAGAAGGTTCCAGTACAATACACTCGCATCCTCTCTTGCCTCCAGACTGCTTGCCAAAACTGGTGGGGGGAGAAAAAAAAAGTGGAAAAATGTTGTATTTTACCTTTTTAAGTGTAAAAATAGATTACAGAAGACAAGTAGTTCAGTACCCTCAGGAAAGAGAAAGTTCATAAAAGCTATCATACATAAGCATCTGAATTATTTTTCTGGAACTGTCAGTAATAATTTTTAATTTAGACAGCATCTCTAATCACAGCCTCTCCAAGCACTTCTACATAAGACCCAGGAAGCCTTCGTGAAACAACCGTTTCTGTACCATTGTCAAGCGGACCACGCTGTACTGCGTTCTGCGTCTCTGTGTTATTTAACAAACACAGCCCTAAAGAATATAAAGAGGGACAAGATGCAAGTGAAAGTACAGAATACCACCAAGGAAAAATGTAGAAGAGCAAGCAATAAAAAACAACACACAATACACGAAGCTATATGCGCTAAATAAAGGTTTGTTTTTCACTGCAACAATTAGCTCTTGTTAGACAAGTTACTCCACTCCAGCCAGAGCAGCTCAAGTAAAAATGCTCCCTACAGAAACCAGCATTCAAATTACACAGAATGATTTGACTAGTAGCCCAGTGCCTGGATTAGTAGCCAAAGTGATGCTCCTGCTACATTCGCACTGCATTATGAGCCTGAGTGCCACCAGTATGGGAGCTCTGACCACACCAACAGTCCAGCTGGCCTGAGCTTAAAGCATGGCTTAACAAGCTAGAGATGCATGCGAGAATGGAAGTTCCAGCTGGGGTGAAACTTGAGTTGCAGCTTGAGTTAACACAGGTCCTAAAAGTAACAAACTGAGAGGCTTTGTAGTTTCATTTTGAAACAGTTAAGCGAACCAGAAATTTGGGTTGGCTGCCTAGCCATTGTATTGGGCAGTTTACAAGATAAAACATTATGTCCAATTTATGGAAGAACAAACCGAGGCTCCGAAATATAAAGGATTCAAGTTTTAATGATATTTAGGCACCAAACTCCCGAAGAATACAATAGGAATTAGATGCCTCAGGTAAAACCCACAGATAAATTTAGGGCATACAGCTGAGGTAAGACATCACTAACTTAAGCATCTGGTCCTGAGAGCACCATTCAAAATCCAGTAAGGTATCTTGGGCCTTTATACAGGGCAGGAAGAGTCCAAAATCTCAGTAGGAGGGGTGAGCAAGCGAGACGAGTGCAAGACAAAACAGTCTAGGGATTTAGATGCTTCCCCTCTTAAGTGAAATCCGGTATGCCCACGATTGTTTATGCATTATATTGAACAGTCACTAGCAGGAAAAAAGCCAAAAACAAACCACATCAGATCAAGTCCCTCAGAGAATTTGAGTATTACTCTATCTAGTCTCTGGTCCTCAGTGGGGCACAGGCAGACACTGAAAGCCTCGCTGCTCAGACTGGGGCAGTCCCAAGAATAACTGTAGGCACCTCGGGACCTTCCAGGTCAAGCAGGAATGCATCTAATGACTTTAAGGGTCCTCTACGGTCGACCCAGAGAATTGTCTGGATTGCAATGCTGTAGTTTAGCACACCTAAGTTTTGGATCAGGCACACATGCTTTTCTGCATCTGATCGCTAAATAAAGCATAAAGTCACACTGCAGAAATAGCAATATAAGGAAAAGGCATCCTTGAAAAAAAGCAATGGAAGTTTGATCTCTTCATTTACAAATGATGCTGATAACCACTGATTGACCTTGGACGGTGCTGCTATTGAAGAATTCTAAAATCATTGATACTTAACTCATTAGCACTTTCCACATGAGGAAAGGGACAAAATTAAATAGAAAATACCATTTTTTTTTAAGTTACACACTAAGCAAGGCAGATATTTTTAAAGGAAGAGGAAAGGAAAGGATTGACATAACAGCTCAATGTGCTAATGCTTCCTGTTTTAGTACGTTGCTCTCTGTGCTCTCTCTCTTATCAAAGCTGAAGTCTCAGCAGAGACTACAGACTTACAATGAGACTATAATGAGTTCTCTCCTAGTTCTGTTTTCTCCCCCACTATGGCATGCAGTTATTTTCTTCTCCTGAAACAATGGCAATTGTTATAGAGAGGGTTAACCAAAACTGATTTCATTTCATCCTGTTCAAAACACTGAACAAGCTTATGACTCTATACAGGCTGAGTTGCGTGCATTCCAGTCACTGGTATTCTCTTCAGGTTTTGCTAGAGGGCAAAAAAGATTTTTAAAAATCTTTGGACACTGCAGGGATAAGAGTGGAGAACAGATCAGTAACATTAAAGCTACATACACCTTCGACACAGGCAGAGTTTAGAATTGCATGGTTTTCAGGTTTTAGTACAAATGTGCAGCTCCCTGAGCCATATCCTAATGCACAGCAAACTGAAGAGAAATAGTAATCCTGCTTAAAATAATTAATCCCAGAATACAGAAAGAGCAAGGGGCAAGGAGGGGAATTATTACTGCTCATATTGCAGTACTTTCCTTGAATCATTCTGAAGTTTTATTTATTAATGTTGCCACCATTCTCGATTTTTATCTGGGGTCCTTGTTCTTTGTTGCATACACATCACAATGTCCTTTGCAGTAGGGCTTTGCGAAGCTTCGGGTGCTGATTCGACTCAGAGGAGATTCAGCCCAATTTGGTGGCCGAATCTCCAAATCCGAATCGAATCAAGAGACCAATTAAAAGGTCCGAATTGATTCGAAACCCCCCAACCCCCACACGTTCTCCCTGCCCTGCCCCCATGGCTGCCTCACCTGGCCCAGCACCCGGCTCTTTAAAAAAGAGCCCCTACTCACCGGCTGCTACCAAATGGCGGGGGAGAGAGGGTAGTGGTCCCCGCTGCCTTCCACTGCCCTGAGCTGCATAGAGGGCTCTGCATTAGCCCCCCAGTCCCTCCCCACTGTCCCAACCACCCCATGGCTGCCCCACCAAGACCCAGCTCCCAAAGCCCCGCGCTCACCAGCTGCTGCAGCAGCCGTTGGGGCTTCTGGGGGCTCATGGCAGAGTCCCCCACGGAGCAGTGGGGGAAAGTGGGGATCGCCCCCCCACCTAGCAGGAGCCGGTGACTCTGAGCTTTTCTTTTTTTTTTTTTTTTTGAGCCGGGAGCTGGGGCTAGGAGAGCAGGCAGGGGATGGAGCTCGTGACAGCCCCCCCACACAGAATGATTGCCCCCCCCAACCTGGCAACAGCCAGTGAGTGCCGGTGGGTGTGTTTAATGGTGCATTAGCACATTTTCAAAGAGCCGGGAGCTGGGGCCTAGCTGTGCAGCCATTGACAGGGCTGGGAGAGCAGGCAGGGGATGGGGCCAATTCAGAGATTCAACCGATTCGGCGGTGGCTGAAATCTCCAAACCAGATTCAGCCAAATCGAATCGGGACAGTGATTCGAATCACCAAATTTAATCACTGTCCCCTGAATCGGCCAAATCCAAAGCGAATACTAGCCGCTTCGCGCAGGCGTACCTTTGCAGCTGTTAGTGTTTACCAGTATCCAGCCAGCAAGGAGCTCTGTGCTCTGGAGACACAGGTGAGCTTGGCATCCCTGCTACAATATCAGGTAGCTGTTTGAAAGACACTTTCCTTCTCTTGTTTCTCCTTTGGTAGCCCCTAATGCTATCATTCATCCCACTGCCCTTGGGGTCAGAACTGGATTCAGCTCAATAAGCTCCTTGCAGTCCACTCCTTGTGTTACAGGAGCAGTCTGGCAGGCTGCTGCCACCAAGTTCAGGATGAGCAAAGACATGAGTAACTGCCTCGGAGTGTCATATTCCATGGAAAACTCCAGATATAGATAGACTTCAGATATACTTTTAAAGAAAAGCTGTTATTGAAATAAATATGAAAAAATAGATCATACAGCTGTGTATGATGCCATCAGTGTTAGCTAGATATTAAATAATATATATTCTATTTTTCTAGTTCTAGATAGGAAGTGGTACCTTTTCTTAATGGCAGGTGCAGATTATACATTTTATTTTGACCAAGCTGACCAGGGTCAAACCTTGAGGTTAAATTTATCTAAGTAGACAGGTGATAGGCTGCATCCGGACTAGGGAAAAGGTTGAGATGAGCTCTCACATGATAGCTAACCACAATCTAACCCTTCCCCTCTCCCCCAACGTCCCTGAACAAGAGCAGATCACAGCTCTGAAAACTATTGTTTCACAAGCTCACCGCAAACTCAGGGTGCAAATGTGTGTGAATTTGCATTAGTTAACTTTCAGATCACATTTTCAAGGTTAACTTCTTAACCAAGAGCTCAAAACTGTTTTTAAAATGAAATTTTAGATTCTGAAGCACAATTCTACAGCAGAGAATGAATTCCACAGCAAACTATTTGACTATGAAATAAATTGAACCTTGACAACAAGTATACATGGGGTATTGTTCAAAAAAACCCACTATTTAATGCCCCACAGTTTTCTCTATACAAACACACACGCATAGAATCATGTATAATTTTGGTGAGTGAGTGAGTGAATGAGAAGAAAGAATTAAAAAGGAGGAGTAAAAAAAATGAGAGAAAAGTGATGGCATAGAAAGTATGATGAATCAATGGATAGAAGAAAACAAGATAGAGAAGCAACTGAAGGGATAGCAAACCAATCCAGAAAGTACACCTGTAACTTTAGATACATAAGATATTCCAGACTTATGCATGGATGTTCTGTAAAAAATGTATATTAAAAAACCTGCACTTCCCAGAAACAATGAAAGGATTAAATGGTTGGCTAACCATTCATGGAAGGGAATGCAAAACCTTTAAACATTTCTAATGAACACAATAACTGGGACAACTTCATGTAACTATTTTAATGAAACCCAAGATTTTTTCAACCAAAAATATTAACATTCTAATTACGACAATCATTATGATAAAGCATTAAAATCAACAGGAGCACTGCAATTTGAACTGTCCAATTCTGATTTCACTAATGTATCAGAAAAGATGTGTCCTTTAAATAGAATGGGTGCCATGAAGTTACAATGATAATGACTAACATTTTCATTTGTTGTACTGCAAGAGGCTGCTGG